ATAAGACCTTCGTTCATCTTCAGAACACAAATTAAGATATTTTTGATGAAATCCGAGAGCTCTCTGACCCTGCATAGACAGCAACGGAACTACCACATTCAAAGCCCAGAAACATAGTAAGGACATCATTAAAATAGTCCATGTGACATCAGTAGTTAAACCTTAAGTTTATAAAGCTATGAGAATAATTTTTGTACACAAATAAAACAAAAATAAAAAATTTATTCAACAATTTCTTCTCTTCCGTGTCAGTCTTCGATGCGCGTTCACGACAGTACCATGACACACGTGTGTGCACTGCTTGCAAACAAGGCGCAGCGCATCCGGGTTCTACATCAGAACTCGGGCTCCTGTGTCAGCAGCACCACATGCATGCGTGGTACTCTTGATGGACTATTTTAATGATGTCCTTATTACCTTTCTAGGCCTCGAACTTGGTAGTTCCGTTGCCGTCTATGCAGGGTCAGAAAGCTCTCGGATTTCATAAAAAATATCTCAATTTGTGTTCCGAAGATGAACATCAGTTAATGACAGAATTTTCATTTTTGGGTGAACTATCCCTTTAAAGTACACACCTCCACATATGAGATGGGGAAGATGCCCATGTGTCCACGGTGTTCTCCTTCATACCAGTTATTATCTATCTGCCGAGTGATGTATACCGTCTCTCCTTTCTTAAACGTCAGCTCTCTGGAAGGAAATAAAAATCAAGTTAACTATATTCCACATGGGGAAATTATGCACAGGAAAGACTTAAATAATACATGAAAATGTACTGACTGATTGTAGCACATCAAATGCAGTAAAAACAGAAACTGGTGACATGGTTTGCAAGTTGTTCTTACTTTGCTGTCTGTGCTTTGAAGTCATATATTGCTCTGGCTGGCAGTTTCTGTCAAGTGAACGAAGCAGAGAAATCGAACTTTATTACATGCTGGCATGAGGTGGGTTTATTTGCAGTTTGACCAATGCTCAGATAAATTATTTGTGATTCTACTAAAATTTTGCAGGAACATATTACAAAGTGATGCATATTCCCTACCTCTCTGACATCGGGGGTTTGTCTCCTGCTCTGTGGTGTGCGGTGGTCCACGTCAGGGTATGAGTATTCTCTGGATGTGTCCTGATCTAGAAAGAACATAGAGGTTAAAGGATTCAAAGACAAGCCTCACAAAGAACCAACACTATTACAGTACATGCGTGGGAACAAGCAATAGCAAAGGAAACAATGATTTGGGGCTTGATGAGAGAAATGCAGACAAAATAAAAAGAAAACAAGAAAAAGTAAATACAAATATATATTTTATTGACCAATGAAAAGTAAATAATGTAAATAAAAATATATAATTTTTTTTGTCCATAATAATGAAGTAAGCTTCCATGAATCATGTCATAAGTTGTTACACCCATCCTCTAGACTCATATCCCCAGTACAGATCATGTGTATTTATACTAGAACGGCAAATGGTTAGCTGGCATCTGTGCCAACTGTGGGCAAGCCCCCTTGCTCTGAACGGTCTTCCTTTATAAACACTGTGCACTGTGCAAAAGTATACAGCGTCACTTTTCTTTATGATAAAAAAATATAAAACAATGACCTTTTCCAAAAACAAATTACTAAAATTTTAGGTACTGAGGCTGATCTCATCATCTATGTCAGGTTTGACAGAGTGAACTGTGTTAACATACAGAGAGTATGTTTCTTCCCAAGCCAATAAAATCTCAAATCTGTTTTTAGATTGCATGCTTCAGCTGCTCAAGTCATCTGTCCAATGCTATTTATATAAAGTGAAACTTTACAAAGTTATATTTCTTTTGTGGCAAGCCCACACACGAACTTGTGTTCCTCTAGTGTTCCGATTCGAAGCAGAGAAATCGAACTTTATTAAATGCTGGCATGAGGTGGGTTTATTTGCAGTTTGACCAATGCTCAGATAAATTATTTGTGATTCTGCTAAAATTTTGCAGGAACATATTACAAAGTGATGCGTATTCCCTACCTCTCTGACATCGGGGGGTTGTCTCCTGCTCTGTGTGCAAAAGTATACAGCGTCACTTTTCTTTATGATAAAAAAATATAAAACAATGACCTTTTCCAAAAACAAATTACTAAAATTTTAGGTACTGAGGCTGATCTCATCATCTATGTCAGGTTTGACAGAGTGAACTGTGTTAACATACAGAGAGTATGTTTCTTCCCAAGCCAATAAAATCTCAAATCTGTTTTTAGATTGCATGCTTCAGCTGCTCAAGTCATCTGTCCAATGCTATTTATATAAAGTGAAACTTTACAAAGTTATATTTCTTTTGTGGCAAGCCCACACACGAACTTGTGTTCCTCTAGTGTTCCGATTCCCAGAGAACGTATGAACCTAATAAAACATATACCTTCAAGCGTCTGCCAAATACAGCAATGTTTTGTAAATGGAGTAGGGAAATAACTTTAAATAAATGTTTGATCAAAGAGAAAGTAAACAAAAATACAATGTGATAAAATGAGAAAATGAAAGACATAGGGACAAAATCAAAAATAAAAACTAGATAAGGCAGAGGATGTGGGTATGAGTCGTGCTCTCTGATGTTCCTTGCAACATAACAATTCCTTCCTCTAAGCCAGGAGTGTCTAATCCTGCTCCTGGAGGGCCACTGTCCTGCAAAGTTTAGCTCTAACCCCAGTTAAACACACTTGAACCAGCTAATCAAGATCTTCAGGCTTACTCGAAACTTGCAAGCAACTTGGAGCTAAAAACTAAAGCACTGGTTCTCAACCCCAGTACTGGGGACCTGCACATTTAGTATGTCTTTCTTATTTAATGCAGATCATCAGCTCGTTAAGAGGGAGCTCCATGAACTGAACTGAGTGTGTCAGATGAGAGAGACATACAAAATGTACAGAGCAGTGGATCCCCGGGACCGAAGTTGAGAACTTCTGCGCTAAAGGATGTTGGCCTTCCAGGAGTGGGTTTGAACACCCTTGCTCTAAACAAGCACATTCACAAACACAGATGGAACATAGCAATGGTGGAAGAGCAGAGCTCAAACACGGGGAACAGAATGGGATTTGGGAAACCAGAGATGGATGAGTAGAGTCCACCTTGATAGCAGTATTCAAAGTTGTGTTTCCTCTGGTTGTTGTTGCCCTCTATATGGTTGTGAGAGGCACTATGGGACAGGCGTGAGTACTCGGATTGGTGAGTGTCCTGGCTGGGCATGCCGTCAGGCTGTGGGTGGTAAGAGCGAGGCTGAACTGTAGGGCTGCTTCTCCCCAGCACGTGCAGGGATGAATTCCTCTCAGGAATGTCGGGAAGCAACTCCACCAGCAACCTATGAAGGATGTTGTTGTCTGGCAGGTTACCCACGTGCTTCTCAGTGTGGATGTGGTCGTAGATGTCTTTCAGGGCCGAATCTAGAGCCTCATACATACAGCTCTTGGAGTTTGGCACTCGGGAACAACTCAAAGGTGACAGGTTCTTCCGGCGGAAAGGCACTGGGCTGACCAGGAATGCGAGCTTGCGGAGTCCGAACTCAGATTCTTCTACCCGCAAATGTTGCCTCCGGTCCTGCTTGGCCCTCTCGTGCTTGATCATAGTGGTGAAGCGCGTATAGGAAGCTGGACAGCGGCCCTTGCAGGAGCTCCCAAGCTGCCTGTGATAATGATGGTGGTGCCCGGATCCGCAGAAGCTCTCGGAGGAGGCAAATGAACACACGTCGAACTCCTTCTCGCTACAGAAGGATGAGCCCTCAATCTGGATAAAGTCGCTAAGGTCGGACACTACAGCATCATGCTCAATGTCTGAGTAGTCGTGTTGCATGGAAGAGTTTTGTAATTGGTCACTGGTGACTTGAATATGGATTGGCACATGGGTGTTTATCTTGGGGTATTGAGGCCGTCCTTCAGGAGGATTTCTGGCAGGTGGTTCTTCATCCAGTAATGACTCAATAGAGAGGCTACGCTTGGGACCGCTGGCCCTCCTACAAGAACCCCTAATCGGGCACTCGTCCCAAAGATTTGGCATGGATTTGGACTTCTGGATCAGACTCTCAAATTCAAAAATCCTGTTGTGCACCATGTCCCTAGGCACCTCTTCGTTACAGCCCTTGTTGCCCGTGCGTCTGTCCTTCCGCTGTTCGCTCTCATACTTATGGATCCTGGCTTTGACCGAGCATATCACCGTAGAGTTTATCAGCTCTTGCCGGTTGATGTGATGCATCTTTTTGTAGAGTTTGAGGAAGCCTGGTGCATCGTGGGCCGAGCGGTGCCTTGTCCTCTCCCTATGATCCTCAGACTCTTGGGCGTCACTGCACTGTGATGCCTCTAGTTCGCCATTGTGCAACAAGGAGCCGGTGCTTTCCGAACGGGTCTGCACTTCCCTTCCCCTCCCATCAGAGAGAAGGTCATCACAACTCCAGGATTTGAGCTTAGACGTGGTCTCCTCTGAGATCATCCAATCTTCTGGGTGCTCTTGGGCTGTTTTCCAGCCTTCAGGGAGGCTGGAGAAGCCTTCTGAGACAGCTGGGACAGCCATGAAACTGTCCTCATTTTGCCCTTTCTTTTGATATGTGGATTCTGAGGTAGCATGGTTTGGACTTTGACCATTTAAATGTGCTGTGTGCATATTGCTCACATCCCCACCTTAGATATCCACCACAAGCAGCATGGTAAAAAAGAGACATGAGAAGACATTAAAAGGTAACTGACCCACAGGAGAGAAAAGTAAGGATGTTTATACTACAACCTGGATAAAAAACTGGAAAGAAATCAGACATCTTGATCAACAAGCCCTCACTGAATAAAAAAGCAATTGATATGCCGTACTACACTGAGGCAAGATTGTAAACACTAAATAATTCATTGAATTTTATTCATGCAAAGGGAAAGTCGTTTAAAATTCTGCTTGCGCTGCGAGGAGCAAAATGAACATTGTCTGTGAACTTTCCCCTGTTGCCTATTTTTTCAATAATGTGTACAAGTGTGGCTGCTCGTCTGACGTCTACCTTTAGTCCTGGTGGCGGCGGGGGAGCTGGGGCTGGTGAGGGGATTCCTCTGGGTGCTGCTGCTCCTGGGTAGCTCTAGTGGTCTGACAGACGTTTGTGTTGTGCCCACACTGCTCTGAGCCGTGGGCTGAGTGGCTGCAGGTTCAGATTTCCATCTCTTGTTATCACTGGCAGAGCTGCAGAATCAATGTGGTTGAAGATTTATAACCAATAAAAATGTAAGTTGTGATAAACAATGTAAAAAAGGGAGTCCTAGGTTTAGAATGAAATGCAATCCTAATCTCCATCTGAAAATAATGCCAAGGTTTCTCACCTATAGTGACTTCAAAATATATATTAAAAATCAAATCCAAGTGGCATTATGTTTAGTACTAGATTTTATTAGTATATATAATATCATATTACTTATTAATTATATTATAAAATACATTAGTGATTGATACAAAAACATATTATAAAATAAGACAAAAAGTAGTCGGACACTTTCTGAATGTTAAACTTAGAAGAACAAGTTCTGTAATGTCATGACCTGCACCATGCATCCACTAAGAATGAACTTGGGACCAGCTGGTTTATAAGTCATTGCAAAAAATTTTTTGAGGAAAAGGTCAGTTTTCAGATATCACTTTGTTTGATATTTTCGATACATATTTAAAAAAAAGTATAGATACTTAAAAAAATCTATGCAATAAAGTGTAAAGATTTGTGTGACTTCAAATCATTTCAATGCATTTACAGTGAACCTACCATGATGGCCTTTCAAGGCTCCTGTCTGTGGATGGCTGATAAAGGGAGGTCTGCAACAGATGAAGGAGAAAAAGCAGGGTGAATTCCTCGCCTAATATCCACACTTACTTTACAGTAGGTTCCTTGACACCCAGCACTCTCCTTCACAAATCCAACAATGGTTAAAACAGTGAAACTCCCAATGTCTGGACACAGTGACGTGGGCCAGCTGTCTCTTGAAAAGCCCAGCCATTCCCAGGACAGCTAGACGCGTCAGATCACTTACGAGGGTTTCTATGTCGAACAAAGCAGGGAATTCCTTGTACGCATGGCTGGAGTAGATAATCATCTTCCTGTTTGCTGAAGCTCTGAGCAGTGTTATCTGGAACAGCTCTCCAGACCAGCAGCAGACGCCCCTTGTGTTTTTTTAACCCTCTTTAAAAGTAGCCCAAGCATGCAGTCCTAGAAATGTCTCCTCAGTGTGGCACATTTACATCTAGTCAACATAAATACAGTGACAGATACCACACTAGCAGGCTCAAAATTGGGTTGCAAAGCCTCTGTGACAATTTTGAGCAATTCTTTGTTTGGATTTACAGCATTCCTCAAACCATAACTGTTACTACACTGGCCTCTGAGTTGCGTTCTCTCCTTAGTGGTCAGTAGCAATTCACAGGGAGCAACTGATTAAAAAAATAATCAGCATTTTTAAGACAAATTCACTAAACAGCTGTGCCACTTGCATGTGGTAGTTACATGCCTGTGCATGTCTTGATCACTAGCAAATTCAGTTTAACTATGTGCAAAATGCACTGAAATAGCGCTATGTCATGACATTCTTTCAATCACGCCTCCTTTCTATGTAAACATTATAGATATAGATCATTATAGATGCACCATAATTACAAAACATATGCATTCAATGTTACTTGATTTGCATAATTCTGAATAGGGTGCTAAAACAACTTAGTGTGTGCAAGAAAGCGACACCATTAATTTATTCTTAATTAATTATCCCCTTTGACAGCCAGCAAACTATATTTACAATGACAGAAAAAAGCCTGTGAGTGAAAGAGGGGCTGTAATATGAGACTGTAGATGGCATGTCCATAGATCCTTCACCTACTACAAACACATGGACAGAATCGGCAGATGACACCCAGGAGGAAGTGCTCCTGTCTCACGATAAATATATGATGTAATAATAGACAGAACTGTTATTATGATAGGAGAAGCAAATGCAGATGTAGATGCAGTACACAGATTCTTAAGACATGGAACAAAACATGTCCCACACTTTCGCCTGCAATTACTTTCGTAAATAGCATCACTTACACTTTAATAATAATAATAATCAAAGAGTATCATTAGAATGTTCATAACTCAAAATTTCCATGCCATCCTAATATGCAGGCAACTATTTAATCAAAATTATGAAAAGAAATTAGGTGTGTCCCAATTTGCTTACTTGTGCACTATTCTTTGCCATTTCTAACCAATAGTGTGAGTAGTGTGTTTGCACTGAAAATTCAAAAAAAGAAAAGGTTCACTTCAAAAACCCAGCTGATGCACTTATTTAACATAAAAAAACGAAGTGTGTAACGTTGCATACTTCATGCATACTCAACTGTCACAGCTTTCCTTACATAGTGGAGGGGCGAGGGACTATCAGACTCTAATGCTAGATTACAAAATATCCTTATAAAATTTATACACTAGACAGTTGAGTATATATATATATATATATATATAATAGAAATATAATAATTTAGGATATCATTTTGTTTTAAGCAGGATAAATAAATAAATATTTTTCATATTTCATATACAAATAAAATGCATATAATTAAATGCAAACTTCTGATTTGTAGTTTACACATAACATTTATATATTTATTCATTTGTTTGTTTTGGTTATTGCAATTTTACGGACTATCTCTAATGCTAGATTACAAAATATCCTTATAAAATGTATACACTAGACAGTTGAGTATATATATATATATATATATATTAGGTAGTGTAAGTGCATAAGGTATAGTGCATTACTTGGGACACAACTACAATCACTTTAAAAGAATATATGCATGCATGTATGTGTGTGTGTATATGCATGTATGTAAATCAATACCTCTGAACATGCTTAACAGACTATTTCCAAGTAATTCCTCTGTGCATAAACGTTTTCTTTTTTTCCTCTGTGCATAAACTGTGCATAAACTATTTAGTCAGTTCTGTAGTCCAATATGTGACATATCTCAAGAATCAGTTAGTGCATTGCTTTAGTTGAAACAATGGACTTTTTGTTATAATTGAGGTTAAGTGATGTTAAATGAGGATGGGTTGAGAAGGTAGGCACTAGCTTATTTCTGTTCATTTCTCTCTTTCGTTCCCCAAATTGGTCAGTGAAGCAGTTAATCACTCAGTTAATCACTCAGTCAGTCATTCTTTACCTCCGCTCGGAATCGAGGAGAGCTCTCTGGATTGTAATCGAGCCGCTTTTTTGGAGGCTTCACCCAGAGATGGGATAGAGGCAGGGAACAGCAGAGAAATAGTAACATAACAAGAGAAAGTAAAGTCACATGACTATGAGAGCAACAATGTGACGACCACAAACTAAAGTTGCACATATGCAAAAAAAACACTACACACTGCAGTGCAGCTCCTTTTATAGAAACACAACCTATAGCACGCCACGTCAAAGACTACTAAACTACACACACCTTGCACAAAGAGTGAAAAGTCAAAATTCTAGTTTGTCAGGTCATGCAAATATGGTCAAATTAATCCACAACAGATTTTATAATCAACAAACAGTAGTTTAATGTGCAAATCAAAGCCTAAAATGCAAAGACACAAATTCTAGTGGAAGGAAGCAAGGCTCATTTACACAGAACCTGATATTGGTTATTTATCACACTCCACTGTATGTTACAGTGTCCAGAATTGTCTGCTCATTCCAACCAGTCATTTCAGTCATGACAGCATGTGCAGCACGTATCTGACCTTTCCACCCCCACACCAATCACAAGCGACATGCTAGCAGCACCAAACCAAAGCCACACTTACCGGCCGACCAAACTCCAGTTCAGCAAAGAACTTATACCACGGCTCATTCTCTAAATCTATGTCCTCTGGTCTTAAGTTACTTGTCTGGTGTTGAGAATGAAAGCAAGTGGGAGAAGAAGATGAAAGGAAGGGATGAAATGAGGTAATCATGTGAACGTGACAGATACAGATGTAAAATGAGGAATGTCTTCATCAGACAAGAAACAAGTGAACGCTGTTGATTTGTGAAGTTCAGCAGAGCACAAAACTATTATTACTATGTTGAAAATAGCTTCAGAGTAAAGACTGTTTTTTATTTTCCTCTCCTATCCAGCAGAGGGCAATGGCACATAACAAATGCTCACTGCACAAGGACAAACTGCACTAGCAGGAGCAAATTGGTTTCTCTAACCTTATTAGTGACCTTGACCACATTACGCTCTAATGGACCCGCAATTTATCTGCTCTATTGAGTGACTCTGCACAGGCTTGCTGAAGCACTTCAGCTCAATTAGGGCAAATGTTTGTGGAGGTTCTTTTAACATATAGAAAAAGCCTATCATGTAATTTCAACTGTTTCCATGTATATTATTAATGCATTTCTATTAATA